GAGAAGCGTCAAATCTTAATTCCGCATTATCTAAAATTGGCAACATGCTAAAGACTGAAAAACGTGGTCGAGACTATCTGTCCTATTTTTGATGGGGCAATGTATCCACACTTCAAAATTTTACAATCTCACTCCTTCGACGCAACCAACATGTAAGCTTCTACGTTTTAACTCTGACATGCCTTCCGCTTTTATATTTGACACATTTAGTTTGACATATTTGTTTTTAGCTTTAGCGTGCGCACGATGTAGTTGGAACACAACGTCTGGCGACGCATGATGTAATTGTTGCTTACTGTATTTATAACATCTCACTTGAGAAGGACCAGGTTGTGGTCGAAACGTCGTGAAGAAGAATAAATGAGAAATGGCCAGTTGGGTTGAGTAATTTTTAAATCGTTATTTTTATCTATGTACTGGCGAACCTATTATTTATTGGACTGTTTTTAAATATAGGAGTTTGTCTCAAATTATTGAGTATTTTCTATTTCAAACGCTGCCGAGGATAAAATAAAGGCCTCAAATAAAAAAAAAAAGATTAAAGAATTGAGGGGACAAAAGAAACTCATCACATTAATTTTGCAACGGACTCAAAATCAGTTTGATGCCACCGTTTATAAAGAAAAGTCAGCTCTACTCAGAAAACTTGTCAAAAAATCTACACAAAGTGGCTACTACTTCTCTGACTCCAATGACTAGGCAATTTTTTCAATATTATATATTAATAATAAATAATATTATAAATGAGTATAGAAATTAATATAAATAATGTGTTTTTTATTATGTGGACAGATAGCCTCTCGAATGTGGACAGATAGCCCCGCATATAAGGCTATCTGTCTACGCTTGACTTGTCCACTTAAAAAATTGGCCTCTTTAAAATGTTAAAAGATCAACGATTCTAATTATGTATTTTTTAATAGCAAGGTTGAAAGGTTATATCATTAAAATTTTAGCCAAATATCTTTATTAGTTTTTTAGTAAACTTGAAAAAAGCGTAAAGTTTGGACACATAGCCTCAGTCTCCCCTACGCTGAGAAAAAAAATTTGTCGAAAAACGCAAAATGTGTTTTATCTAACTAAAATATTTAGTCCGATACGTTCAACTAAATAGTTGGTTTAACGTTTAACTAAATATTAGTTGCATTAACTAATACTTGATTAAAAAATTTTGATGGTTGACATGATTGAATCATACCTTTTTTTAGTGCAACTTAATAATTGTTGAATTAACCACTGGATCAACAGCTATACAAATTTAATCCATACAACCAATTTTTTTCTCAGTGTAGAAATAAATATCGAAATTAGGGCACGAGCTTTTGTCGTGATCAATTTTATTTTTTAATTACTCGTTTTCTTTGAGCAATCTAATTTAATCGCGGTTACGTTATATTATGGAATCGATCGTTGGTTAATCAACTCAATGCCAAAGATATCCTTACTTATAAATAATCACAAGTTATCTTCACGCACGCATCAGATTTGTCCTTGTACTTAGGTATTTAATCTTTAATCTATCTGACTTCTGCGGGTAATAACTCCCCGTCTGAAGTTTCGATTAAACTTCTTAATCGAAGTTCCACGTGTGATCTTCTTCGGTTATCTACTCAGACCACCATTCGCCAGACGACAAATCGACGTTTGGAAAACAAATACGTGAATCATTACATCATTAACAAAGGCCATCCGTTACCATGCGCGTCTCATAGGATATGACGTAAACGTCAGCTCACCACACACGAGCGTGGGTGATACGTAAATGATCGGAAGATAGAGAAACATACGATTTTGAACTTATAGATTGCCATATTTCTTGAAAGTTCTAAAAAGACCAATCACACACAATATTTTTCTCCATCTTTATCTGTTACCAGCGCTGATTACCCGTGATCGGAGGGATGCAAATTTCGCTACGATTGCGCGTATAATTGCCGTATCAATTAATCTTTCACGGTGTCACGGTACTCTCCATACTCTGTATATTGCTTCATACTAATTATGCGATTCATGCACATAGCAGAAGATGAGAGTTGGAAGCGGCTTAAAGATATAGCTTCGATGTAATTAACGTTTAAGCGACTTACGCGTAATTTGCAAAATTTGTTATGGTATGGTAGTAATCATTTTATTATTTATTTAATTAACTTTCCAAGTTTCTTTTCTCGAAAACAAGACCTTATTCGAAAAAATGTATTCTATTATATCGACTTATTTTGAATAAAATCTATGCCTTTCCGGTTGTATTTTGGCCTTTTTTTTTTTTTTTTTTTACATGGAGAAATCTTCTACTACCGGCTTTTCGACCGATAGCCCCCTCTTGTGGGAGGGGGAAGACCCCATCGCCCTTAATATCTTATCTAATATTTAAAAAAATAAAACTAATTAAGAATAATTAAAATCTTAAAAATTTTAGGCAAGATATACTTTTGTAAAAAAAAAAGATATTTGATATGCGTATTTAAAAACTTCCAATAAACATATGCTCGGAAATAGGAATATTAAATCTATGGTAGAAAAAAATATCAAAATATATATTAAGATTACGATGACTAGAGTCGGCATTGCGATCTCTTTCGCAAATAATAATATATAGAAGTACATTGCATGGTAACAGTATATAAGATAAGAATAGTACTTAATAATTGTTATTTGATGAGAGAACTTCGATAAACACATCGAGAAAACATCGATAAAAATAATTTCTCAAGTTTTTCCGTGAGCACTTGTTCTTTGAAGTTTGAACGATAAACCACTCGCTTCTTTTAGTGTGTGAATGGTGTGTCTCAATTTTATTTCATGTAATAAAGAAAGAAACTTTTTTATATAATACTCGAACGTAATGCTCAAATATATTAGATAGAATATACAGTAGAAGCGATGAATAATGACTTCGTAATAATAAAATAGATCTTACATATGTAATTAAAATTACATTTTTCAGAAATTTCTATATTTCTATATTTATTTATCTTTATTAAACTCTATCTTTATTTAACATATTAACTGCAATTCGTACTAGCCTGATTTGCTTAAATCACAGTTACGAAGAGATTCGTAGGACATACTTAATAAAATTGACAGTGTAAGAATAAAAAATTAATCGAAAAAAACTGGCGTTTTTTTACTCGAACGTAACAATTAATATTTACGCCATAATTAATAGTTAAATATTTAACACACTTTTTCGAAAAAAATTCCGACTATATGTAGATATAATATAGATATAGTAGATATAATATTTATTAAATATAATGTGACGCATTTAGATTTGATAATAATGTCGCAATCGATTTTAAGGCTTCTTATTGTTTTCTTTATTTATAAGTTATATAAGTTTACAAGTAAAAAAAAAATAATTTTAAGACAATCATAGATATAATGGACAGTGATTTTCTCGTCTACTTTAAAGAGGTTTTAACGAGATTGGCATTATCATTAATTATACTTTAATTTCATTTTCTTAATATATATTTTGATATTTTTTTATATTTTTATATTTAGATTTAATATTTTTATTTCCAAGCATAGAATTGTTTATTGGAAGTTTTTGAATACGCATATCAAATACCTTTTTTTTTTTACAAAAGTATATCTTGCCGAAAATTTTTAAGATATTAATTTTTCTTAATTAGTTTTAAAAAAATATTAGATAAGATATTAAAGTTAATTAATTTTAAAAAGGTATTAATGTTATATTGGTTTCATAAATAATTCAGATTTGAAAATTATACAGGGTGGGCCAAAATACAACCGAAAATTAGACTTTCGATTTCGGTGCCAAGTTCAAGAATTCTAATCCGTAAGAATGAGTACGAATGAGTTCCTCCAGTAAGAATTAGGGGACCGCCTGATGACGCTTGATTGGTCCGCTATTAACTGAGGAGAAGTTAGTGGGAGTGGGACAAAGCACAACATCCCGTGAAAAGTACGAGAGTGGGAAGGCTATCTCTCTCGATCGTTTGCATAATTGCTTGTTAATGGCGGTATTCGTCCATCAATCGGCCATCGCGATCGTCAAGAACAACCCGAGAAAGGCCGTACGCAGCGTGGGAGATGGCGAGGTCGTCGAATTCGACGTCGTTATCGGCGAGAAGGATCACGAAGCCACATATGTCACCGCGATGGCCGATGGCCGATAAAAAAATATGAAAAAATTCACATATAACCATTATTTGTAAAGAAAATTATATTATAAATTTCATGCACTGTTCTCAACATTTTGCATTCTCTTTACAACCTTCTTAAGTATATTAAAATAAAATTCTATTAAAGTAGAGTTTACTTAAAAACAACTAAAGAATATAGTTTTATTATACTTGCCTTTCGCGAAAGATATATGACATGCCTTGATACATTTCCGCTAAAAAATCTACTTCTTTGCGTTATATTATATGTATATATTAATTTTATAATTTTGTTGTTATTGTCGCCCGTCCATCGAGCGAAACGGCTCTCATTTGCCTTTATGACTTTATCTATTATTGTTTTCGAGAGCTTTATTCTTGATATTAAATCTACTTCTGTTAGGAATCTGTCATTAAAATAAAAATTATGAGATATGCTGTGCTTTATGTGAGAAAAGAGCCGATTGTACGGTGAATCAAAGATGAAGTGTGAATTTCAGGCCGATCGTATCTTGACATTATCCCGTGTACGTTCGCACGTACGCACATGTATACGGCATATATATATGTTCGTTTACCATCTGAATGTCTATTTGAATGTCTGATCTTTTCGCCGAAGGCTGTCGCCGATACACGTATCTTGGATTATATCTTGATCTTTATGATCTTTGCCCGACTTTTCTGCGCGAGATTGACGCTATTTCTATGCCGACTTCTTTTCTACGCACAATTCCGAAGTTGATGTCACGAGTCACACCGGCACGAGCGTCACAAAAGGCACGTGTATTGGACCCGATAAAGTTGAAGATGATCTCTTGCGTTTGTAAAGATTCGAGATTTCTGATAGAAGATTCAAGAAGATCTCCAGGATAAAATCTTAAGAACATTATTATAATAAAAGAAAACAAGACCGCTATGATACACAATCGAATAAGATACAAGCCGTTTTCGGTCTAAGCTTAGATCTTAGGCAGCTCAATTTCCGTGGCTATTAATTTCCGTGTATATATGTATTATCATACATATATATTCATATACATATATATATATATTCCATATACATATACATATACATATACATATACATATACATATACATATACATATACATATACATATACATATACATATATATTCCAACTTATTACTGCGCGCCGATCACAGTCGGACTTAAAACACAGCTATTGTTGGAAGTTAAAGTTGGAACATTAAAAACCCTTCTCTCCCCGGAATTAAATCGACGCGATAGAGCAACTTCTAAGTGTCACACACAAAATACATAGGAGACCTATCCGATACACCCTCTTATACTAAAAAAACCTACCCCCGGACCACTTTAAATATTCTGGCTACATTAAAAACGATTTGTCCCATTTCTCCTTTGGCACAGAGCAAGTTCTAAGTGCCACACATAAAATACATAAAAGACCTATCCGATACATCCTGCGGAAGACACCCTTATACTAAAAGACCTACCCCCGGACCACTTTAAATATTCTGGCTACGCCAAAAATGATTTCGTCTCTTTCTAAGGGAGACAGTTAGAAAGAGATGCAGAGTGAGTTTAATCGGAGAATCAAAAGTTAATCGGAGACTGTGAAATTGGCCCTTAACTTCTTTGCGACTATCTCGTATTTCGCAATTCCGTCGCGTAACGCGATGTTTTTTGTTCTCTGTCGCCCAAGATAAAATTTGACGAACTTCAGAAGAGACAAGACAGAAGAGATAGTCGCAAAGAAGTTAAGAGCAGAAAACAGAAAGCAAAAAGCACATTGTAGATCAGCCTTTCACAGTAAAAAATTTAATGTTAATGAAAGTCCACTCTAAATTTTTTTTAGTTAAAATAACTTTATTTTAGTTAAAATAACTCATTCATCGTGTTACTTGTTGACATTTAGAAATGTTATATCGACATTTTTTACAATGTATGTTTACAATAATGTAAAAATAACTTGCAAAAAATATTGATATAACATTTCTAAATGTCAACAAGTAACACGATGAATGAGTTATTTTAACACAAAATTTAGAGTGGACTTTTATTGACATTTGGTACACAAAATTTTTTACTGTGTTATATTGCTTTTATATGTTTTTCTGTCTAAAATTTTTTTTATAAATGTTTTTACGTGTTTTTCCGTCTGTCTTTCCTGTTATTTAAATCAGCCAAAAAAAAAAAACGCGACGGAAAACGTGTTATTACACGCAGTTCTCACTATATCCGTCTCGCCAGTGCCGTACGCCTGATCGAATTTTCGTGACGCGTTTTCGAGTCGCAAAATCGAACTTATTACCGAGCCAAAAGAAATAGCGTTTTGCCAATGCCGTATGGCCAAAAAAGTTGTCTAACTTTTTTTTATAAGTTTTAGAACGCACTCTGTCATGTGAGAGTTGATGGTCCCTGCTCACGGCCTCTTCCTCTCCCCCTCTCTCTCTCTCTTCCTCTCTCTCTAAAATGCTATAAATTAAAAAATATTACTTTTTTATCTACTGAAGTTCAATTCCGTCGTATACAGTTCTTTAAGATTCACTCAATTATTTCCTAAAACATTGGAAAAATTTTGTAACCGATTTCCAAAAAGATACCGGTTCCCAAAAAGATCGGTAACGAAAAACTATACAGCTTATAGCACTCCTCGGGAAATTTAACCCCTACTTTATGTACAATTCTTTGAGATTTGGTCATTCGAAACCGGTTTCCAAAAAGATCGGTAACAAAAAATAGTGCTGTTTTTGTTATTGATCTTTTTGAAAACCGGTTTTTTTTCCAATTTTTCGGGAAATAAAAATTGAAAAATAAATAATTTTTCGGGAAATAAAAATTGGGGATTGATTGAATCTCAAAGAATTACACATGAAGTAGGGGTAAAATTTTCCGGGGAGTGCTATAGAGTGTATAGTTTTTTGTTATCTATTTTCTGGAAACCGATTTCTTTAATTTTTTTAATATTTAAGAAATAAAGAATTTAAAAAATCGGTTTCCAGAAAATCGGTAACAAAAAACTATACACTCTATAGCACTCCCCGGAAAATTCTACCCCTATTTTATATACTTGTGATAAAAATTCGGTCCAAAAGTTTTCAAGTTATTAACATTCAAACATACACCACCCGTAAGGATTTTATATAATAAATAACATATATAGATAAATAACATATAACATATATTTTTACAGCTATTTATTTTTATCTTAATCTTTTTCAGAGATGGGTTATTTTATAATATCTAACTTTACACACACACACACACACACATTTCATAAGCAACCGCATATTTTTCGATTTGGGGCTTTCTAAGGTTCAATGAGTCAGCTTGGCAATCAAAATGTTAATAAACTTCCCATTTTTTATAAACTTAATTAATAAGATATACATATTGCTAGAAAAAACTTGCCCAAAACTTAGATATGCCTCGTATAATTTGGTATATCACGTAAAATGTAAATTCAAATATTAATTATAAGTTATATAGAACCGTTTCTTTTTTACGTTGCGCAATAGGCCACAATAGGCCACAATAGGCCCACTTATAAAATATTTTATATGTCGCGAATTATTACAGAATTCCCGTGATATAGATAATAATTGTAGATATTATATTACAGCGCGATATATATACTAAATACTATATGATACTGTATTATTCAACTAGAAAATATTAAATCGTGATATTAAAGCTTAAAAAATATTAAAATATAATACCAATAATAATATGGAAACTTAATATTAGATTATAATATTAAAAATAAAATATATTAAGAAACGAATGTGTGTGTGTGTGTGTGTGAAATAATATAAAATTAAAATTATTATATGATTTAATTTCAAGGTAAAGAGTGAGAAATATACGATAATGCAATGATTTCTGATGATAATTGTTTTCGTTTTTTTTCGCATCCCTTATTAATTTTTATCTATCAATTATTTCTATTAAATTTTATATATTGCAGTGCTTTATTTATTTTTATCATTAACAGTGCAAAGATTCCAACAATAAGGATTTATACTAAATAAAGACGTGCGCATCGTGTGACTTAATCTAACTATACATATATAATTGACAATTGTACCACAATTGTTTAATATTTCTGTTATAATGAAATTAAAGTATCGAATTCGTTATCGAATTTTCAGCACCTTGTTCTTGACAGTTAATAGTGTTGTTTGTACAATAGGGAAATTCCGGTGAAACGGATACACAGTAGTCTCCTTTTACGCTATAATTACTGTCGAATATCCTGACATTCACAACAATGCAATTAGCTCTGTTGAAAGAACAACCAGGCACAAGACTGAAAAAAATGACAGCCATGATAAAATGATGCGAGTCACAAAATAAATGGGAAGTGTCTAATAATTAAATAATTCTGAGCAAAAGGTATTTTTTATTTATACATACTCGGAAAGCTCACTTGTTCTAGGTCTGCAAAAAATAGAAGTATATAATGTACATATAATTATAATCTAGTCTCTGTCTTGTAAATGTGCTTAATACGATTCGATATGACTTTTGGTTTAGAACAATTCATAAAGTTATATTAATATGAATTTAAATGTACCACCGGTTAAAAAGGCAAACTTACGATGTAGGTACCCCAACATATGCACAACCATCGAACAACATATTAGCAAGGTACACGATGGCTATATTATGTGCACAGATGACGTTAAGCTCACCTATGACTATCCCGCCTGAAACAAAAATTTTTACTTTATTTACCATTTCTTTCTCACGGCGCGCGGCGGTTTCTCTGGATACTAGCAGCACATGTTAAACTGTAAGAAGTTAAAAATAATAATTACCACATGGTGGTTGGCTGAATCCGTTATTAAACCACAAATTGAGGTGAGCTATATAAGAGTGCCATATCCCGACCAGTGATGTGTGAAGAGCTATTACACGTATGGCGTCTGACTCGCAAAATCTTTCTTCGCATTTGTTATGTGCAAACAGGGGACCCGCGGGTTCGGTACCGATGAGAAGCGGAATCTTGCCGTAACCCGAACGTTGAAGGTCCTTCGCAGCGAAGCTACTTATATGCGCGCCAAGACTGTGACCCATAAATGTGATGCTCTTCAGCGGAACATGGCACGTGTCGATCATCGATTTGACGTAGCTGAAAGAGAATATTTGTATAAATATGTATTTATAAGGCAAAAACATCGTATCTTATTCGGTTTAATATAGTCACTTGTCGTTGTTATTAATATAATATAACGTACAAAGATAAATTTCAATATATATATAGACGATGTATTAATTTTGCATTTTATATTAATCATTGATATTATTTAATTAGTATTAGTACATTATCCGGAAAACTATTCACAATTCGAATTAAATTTAAATTTATATTTATATATTTATTATACATTTTTTTATTTAATTCGATGTAACATCGTAAAGTAGTCGTACCTTGCTAAGTAGTGACCAATTTCGCGCGTGTTCTTTACTGCGAAGGGATACTCCAGCAGATTTAACCCGATTGGGTCATGATAGCATGCTGCGTTAGACCAATCTACTGAAAATACTGTATAATCTTTCTGTAGAAAGAAAGAATTTATTCTATTAAATTCTTTTATATTGCGTCTTAAATATTTTCACATGACTTGTGCGATGTAATATAAGTCTTTGAGATTAAAGAGAGAAATACTGTATTTTGTTATTTTTCCGGGGTATAAGAAATAATTACCTTTATCAATAGCTTAGCAAAATCAGAAAAGTAATAGGTGGATGCATTTGCAAGAAATCCATGAGTTATAAAAATCATCGGTTTCAACGGATCAATAAAATCGCAGGATTCATTTACGTTGACAACTTGACCCTGAGGGATATCACTGTAACAAATGCAAACATAAGCGATGCGAGAAATAAATTAACAGTGGATGGTGGTTACAGTGGTTACAGTGGTTACTTTCGGGTGTGTTTTACCTCGTGAACAGGACCATTGACACCGACTCAACGCCGAAGATACAGGAATTTGATAGCTTGTCTGTAAAATTGCCGGTATTGATGAAAAAGCCTTCATTCACGGCATATGTACCTCCAATTTTTTTAATACGTGTATCGTGTTAAGGAAATTAAAAGTATTATAATAACGATCCGAAAGAAGTAACATGCAAAAAAAGATATTAATACGGTCCACGGCACTGAATGATAATTTAGTAAATATCACACTAACAGTAATAATAATCTTACTAAATCTCTTTGTACAATATTTGATATTACAGTATTACTGACAACTGTAAATTATTTGACGAGTGTGCAGAGAATATGTGAAATTATATTTCGCTATAACAATACAATGTAATGATAAACGATTAATAAAGTTGTCACTGTGTATTAGCTCGTTTTTATTCCTTATATTCGATAATAAAGCACTGATAAACATTTTTCTGGCATGTCCATTGTTAGTATTATTAATACATTGTTAGTATTACATAACACTGGGTGTAAAATTATCTTTATTTAATATTCAATATTAAAATCTCCTTTTGAAGATGAATCGAATTTTAAGGCTACGTCAAATGTCAAATTGTGAAGTTTCTTGAAAAAACGTTTAAGCAGAAAATCCTACCTAAAAACTTGAGATGGTGATGCTTGAACACTAAGTTGTCTTATCATTAATTGTATGTTTGTATTTATAATTTGTAATTATTTTGGAGTTTTGAAAGATTATGAAACATTCTACAGAATTAAATAAATTCTTAAAAGATTTGTATTAAAAATATTACAATAAAATTTACTTTGAAATGTGACGGTTGCGGGTCTCCATAAAAAAAAATATCAGTTTAAAAATGTAAGTCAAATTCAAATAATTGTAGTCTTTTCTGCAATTTAAAATGTATTATTTACACGAAATAATTAAAATAAAAAGTAAATTTATTGAAGCGTGATAAAATTAGTGAAAATTTAAAAAATGCAAAAAATTTATTAATATTATATTTTTAAGGTATTGGTAATTTTATTCACGAATTTCAGCAATTTTAACCCGTTGTGGTCACATGGGGTCCAGTGGACCCCAGGCTTTTTTTTTTTTTTTTTTTCCAAAAGTATACTATTTTGAAAGTAAAACGCACAAAGTTTTTTTACTCTATCTCAAAAAATTTTGATGAATATTTTTGTAAAAAAAGTCAAATTTCTCGAAAAAAAATTTTTTTTCTCGCGTTTTTTCAACATAAAAAATTTTTTTAAATTATTGGATTATCAAGAGGAAGTCATAAATTAATTCCAGTTCAAGGTTTGAGTCGATACATCAAAAAGAACGCAAATGGAAACTGTTGTGGGGTCCATTGGATCCCGTGTGACCACTACGTTATTTTTAGGAGGTGTGACCACAACGGGTTAAAATACATAACTCCAGGCTAAGGAGAAAATTAAAGAATTGATTTCTATATAGTTGGAGACCTCGTAAAATTAACTCTCAATTTTTTAAATGATTATATTTTTATCATTTTAAACGAAATTCTTTCTGAAATCAATTAAAAACTATAGAACTTTTTAAAACATTTTACACATCTTACTTTAATTTTAGAAAAGCAGAATATTAACTTTATAGACACAAGTACGCTATTTTTCGATAGAAGGGTGGTCGATGATATTTCTTTAAAATATTTCTTAAGGATTAAAGAATTATACGAACCATTATTCATTAAAGTCTTCATGTTATTACTCAGCATCTGCAAGAAAAAGGGCCAGTAAAAATACAAAAATCGTATTATTCCAAATATTGCTCAATATTAGCAACAAATAATTTAAATAATATTAAAATATAAAAGAAAGAAGTATAGATACTATACTATACTCATCTAGGATTAAAACTATTATTATCTCTTTGTGATCAATATTATTTCTCGCAAATGCTCGATGATCAAGCGTGCTCCATTTTATTTAACCGACAAACTCACATTAATTAAAGAATTTTTATTAAATTTATGAAAATTTTCAGAAAGTAATTCGTTGATTTTAATTGTAGACTCTTATAAGTTATGTCCAATTCGATATAAAACCCCACAAAGTTAATATCAGAAGTATAACACCGTTTAGTACTTGATTTCAATGTGACGATTCGTGTAAGATCGTTGTCGACGTTCCTACGAGATTGTAAACCGAGCAGACCGAAAGAATGAAGATTCTAATGCTTATTTCCAGAAATGAGAAAGTATACGCTTACCACATTGAGATCGCAATTTGCGGCCGCCATCAAACCGAAGAGACTGCAGAGCAGCACAAGAAATGATACGATCGCGACCAGCTGCATTCTTGACGAAAAATAAAAACATATTAACTGCATTCTTGACAATTTGCGTAACCCTATCGCTTTAAATAGTTGCGATTAGCGTATGCGTAAACTATTTCGAAATAATGATAATCATATCGAACGCTTAATAAAGATATTATCATTATAATATCGTAGAAAAAGATTCGTTATAATCGTTATAATTTTGTGCACGATAAAGATGAGATAATTGACTATATCTTTTAATATAAAAGTGCAACTTATGATAATTTGTTGCTATATATAGGGGAGAGTGGGGTAACTGTGAACACAAGCTATAAATGTGAACAATACTATTGTTTAGAGTAGTGATATTCTCCCACTTCTCGCACCCATGAAAAGTAAAACCCGTTTGTAATTATTCCTACTACGATTCGGCATTGCCGCGCGTGTGGCGGGTAACTGCGACTGGCAAGAGTTTTGCTTTTTGTTTAAAATTCGAGTTTATGTTGATAATCTATAAATATTAATTATTGTAGTTAAAAGCCAAATAACTGAAGTATTTTATTTAAAATAAAGACTTCTATAATTGATAAATAATTGTCGGCTTTATTTAACTTTTCCGTTAAGTGTTTGTACTTTCCCCACTCTTCCCTACAGCCAGATGCCAAGATTGCCAAGTATATCGAGTTTTCTATACTGATGTTAATAAAGAATTAATAAAAATTAAAATAACTTTTAAAATATTTAGGGTATAACTTTTATGCTGCTGCTGAATATTCTCATCTCCGAGTTTCATGTGTAACGTGATGGACCCCTCTTTAATGATGCACTCATTCACATAAATTCGTTGCAATTACAATATCCTACAAGTATTTATAGATACAATGCATTCAGTCGAATAGTTGTATATACGCCATATTTAATTACGTTTTTTCTTTAATTAAAAATCGCATTATCGAACATTATTTAGGGAAAATTCATGAAGTTGTAGGATAGAAATCGCGAAGATGCAACATTCCGTGCGTGCTTTTCTTTCCAGAAATATCACGATTATTAATCAAACTTAAATCATAGGACGAATAAAAGTAGAAGAAGAAAGAAATTTTTCTGAAATTAATGTAGAATCTATTGCGTTAAAGTTACAACTTTGATGTTATGATATTGAAGAACCTTCATATTAATCATAAATATCTTTTTAATCATAATTGACACAACTATTTTTTTTTTTTAAATAAAAGTTTTAACAATATAATTGATTTTAATTGCAATAAAATATTTTAAATGTTACGTATCGTTATTTTCAACATCTTTTATTTGCTCGAAATTTGGCCGTTTTATATTATTTACGTATCGTAATTATAATTTGCCAAAATACACTAAAATAACTCTTTTTTCAATTTTAATCACAAATTTCTCATAATCGCGACATAAAGCAACTTGGTAAACGGGATTGTATTTAACGTCCCAAAAACTATGGAAAACGATTAATGGCGATTTTTTATATATTTTTTTTGCTATCGTTTGTTGCGGCAACTTACTGTAAGTAGTGTCATACAATTACATATTATTCTTATAAGGCCTGTGTCCACGATGCTAGAAATTGGTTCGAGTTCTCGATTCAAGTTCTCGAATAGAAGTAGTTGTACTTCGATGATTCTAGCGTTATAGTTGAAAAATGTGGGGTCGAGAGCTGAGTATGAGCCTGGGCCGTGGAATATATATAATTCTCTTATTATATATATATATATATAATTCTCTTTTCTCTATTTATCAAAAATTTATGAAAGTTATATACATTTCCGTTGTCCAATGTTACATTGACTACCATTGACTAGCTATTTATAAAGTAATAACGTTGGCAACATGGAATTGAATCGACAACTTGTACGGAAAAATGGGACAGGATACATTTTTCTGTACGAGATTTCTATTCGAGAAATTCATCCAAGTTGCCTGTGTACACGATTCGAGTTCTAGTAACTTTTTCTTGGACCGAGGGCTCGGACCGATTTCTAGCATCGTGGACACAAGGCTTTAGGGAATATGTAATTGTATGTAAATACCTTGAAAGTCGCGCATGTTAAAACTTTGACTGTCATTTTACCCATATCTGGATGAGTTTCCACTAGAACCTTATCACACTTTTATGGATAACAGCTTTATTTGTCTGGTTAAGAATACTTCGAACTAAGTCTTAATTTATTAAAATATTTAAAAAAACAATAAAGTATTAAAATAGTAGTTTAATATTTAAATATAGTAGTCTAGTTTTATTAAAAATAAAATTATTAAACATTTCTCTATTTTTTTGCTTACTGTTTTAATCAGAAAAAGATTTATTACGTCAGTTTGCAAATAACTGCAGTTTTATTTATTCTATCTGATATTACATTATTAAATATATAATAATATATAATATATATTTTTAATTTTATTTATTTTTATCTACTTTTATTTTACCTTTTATGATACAAGTTATTTTATAATTTGATTCTACATGTTCAATAAACAGTCGCGCACTTTTTATCTTCCACAAAGTTCAATGCTAAAATCACCTTGACATTAAAATGTTAGTAGATCTCCCACTTTTTATAAACATTAATAAAACATATTGATAGCTCTCTAAATCTGAATCAGTGAATAATACTGTGAATCAGTGAATAGTCACTGATATCAGTGTAAAGTCCGCTACTGATTCATGAAAAGTAGCATACTTATCAGTGACTATTCACTGATTCAGATTTAGAGAGAGAATTTGCCTCAAAAAACTTAGATATGCCCTGTATAATTTGGTATTTCACGTATATATATAATGTAAATTTAAATATTAATTAAAACTTATGTATAGATCTGGTTTTTTTTACGTTGCGCAATAAGCCCAGCACTTACGAAATATTTTACATGTCACATACGATGTAATATAAGTCTTTGATATTAAAGAGAGAAATACTGTATTGTATTATTTTTCTAGAGTATAAGAAATATTTACCTTCACCAATCTTCTTCTTCACGTGCCCTGCCCGGTCCCCCGGACGTTGGCGATCACTCTGGCCATAGTTATTCTAGCCACAGCTATACGAAAGAGCTCCTCCACGCTCCGCACCCCAGTCCATGCTCTAATATTTCTCAGCCATGAGAGTTTCTTCCTTCCGATTCCATGTCGACCCTCGATCCTTCCTTTTAATATTAGTTGGAGGAGGCGGTACTTCTCCCCTCTCAAGACATGACCAAGATATTCGATCTTCCTACATTTGACCGTTATCGGCAACTCTCGCCGTGCACTTGCTCTCCTCCAGACTTCAGCGTTCGTAACTCTATCGAAATTCGCAGCATTTTTCTTAGGACCCACATTTCAAATTCCTCCAAACGGTTCAGCGTGCTTGCTTTGAGAGTCCACACCGTATAACAGCACTGACCATACATAGCACATAGCACTTAACCATTCTCCAGAAGAAGGCCCTCCAAAGAAGGCCCTTATCTTATTAAAGACTCCGCGAGCGATCTCTATCTTACGCCTAACTTCTCTGTCGGGATCCAGATCCTCTGTGATCAGGCATCCCAAGATTCCCAAGTATTCGAATGCAACGCGTTCTATCCTTACGCCATCAAGGTGCAGTAAAGCGCCCTCGTGGCTAGCGCAGCTGAAGACCATCATCTTTGTCTTATTTGTGTTAATTTTTAGATCCATCCTTTGCCCAGCTTCTGAGATCCTATTTAGAAGTAGTTGGAGGTCCTCTATATTCTCGGCGATGATGACAGTGTCGTCTGCTTATTTAATGGTGCTGATGCATACTCCATTTATTTTGATACTTCACCAATAGCTTAACAAAATCAGAAAAGTAATAGGTGGATGCATTTGCAAGAAATCCATGAGTCATAAAGATCATCGGTTTCGACGAATCAATAAAATCGCAGGATTCATTTACCTTGACAACTTGACCCTGAGGAATATCACTGTAACAAATGCAAACATAAGCGATGCAAAAAATTAATTAACAGTGGATACTTTCGCGTGTGTTTCACCTCGTGAACAGCTAGGACCATTGACACCGATTCAACGCCGAAGATACAGGAATTTGATAGCTTGTCTGTAAAATTGTCAGTATTAATGAAAACTTTATTCACTCACAGCATATATACTTCTCTACACGTGTATTGTATTAAGGAAATCAAAAGTATTATACTAACAATCCGAAAGACATGCAAAAAAAGATATTAAGGCCGGTATTCATAGTCGGTTCTTATATTTAAGACTGTCTTAAGTACAATCTTAAGACGTCATGATCAAATCACAGAGCCGTATTAGCATCTTAAGATATTACTTAAGACAGTCTTGAAATAAGAACCGATTATGAATATCGGCCTATGACTCCTGAGTTCTCGCTGCGGTCATGTGAGATTGTAACGTCAGAGACGAGAAATGACACACTGAGAATTCTTGCGTGTCATTATAAATAAACAGATATTTGGATAAAAAAAACATTCTGATCGCTTCACCACACTTATAAAATATTTTAAAAACCTCCTTTTAGAATATCCTTTTAAAATCTGTCTCTTTCAACACTTTTCTTCAAAAATATTTTTAACATTTTTAAAATTATGAAATATTGAACAACACTCGTTATCACCTAAACATTCTTCTTATCAGAAATCAACATCATTTATGTTGCAATGCATAATTATTTTATATTTTTGGATATATTAAAACAATTTTTGTACAACATATTTTTTTCAATATATACAAAATTTATTTTTAAAAATGACGGCCGCGGGCTTTTATTTAAAAACTATAAGTTTAAATCTAATTGCAAGTCAAATTTAAATAAGTGTAAATGTCTCCCGCATTTTGAAATGCATTACGTTCACGAGATTTTTAGAATAAAAAATGTTTATTTTAATCAAAGCACGATAATCAGTAAGAATTAACCAATTTATTTTCCTTGAAGATTTTGGTAATATTTTCATGAATTTTAACGATTTTAATGTTCCTTAAGCTAAAGACAAAATTAAAGATATGATTTTTATACAGTTGAAGATTTTGTGGCAAAACTTCCGAAAATGTCCGTGCTCCGATGTAGATGAAACTTTGTGAATAGGTTCCTTTTAGATAAAAAAGACATATACCAAAAGGATTTTTTGCGACTCCAAAGTTTAGCAATTTTTTAAACATTTTTAACTTGCTGCCTCCGCGCATACATTTTCCACGCGAAACGAGGTGCCACATGGGTTTACAACTTTCCACGCGTGGTAAGCCCACGCATGTATTTTGAAGGCACACTATTTGAAGCTGTTTATATGATTGAATTTGAAGAGAATAAGAATGAAGGAACAACTTATAAATGATAATCGAATCCTGATTGACAATGACAACCGAGCTGCCGAAATATAATTGGAGCTACAATAATTGACGATGATTTGAAAAATATAGTCTACGTAAGGTATTATTCGCATTTTTAACATAATATGGGGGGAAATGTGTCCGATTAATACATTTTTATTAATTTATTATTAGAAATTAAAATTAAGGTCTGTATAAGAGATTACAAAAGTTTTTCGAAGAACCGCATGTAAAAAGAATCACGTAAAAAAAGAATTGGGTGTACATAGATTTAAATAATTAGCGCGTAATTATTAGAATATAGAGAGAGATAGTAGAGCAATTCTGCCAATTGCTCAATTTACTTAAGTTGCAAGATTAACCGGCTATTGTTAGGAAGATGAAGTTTTGTCATACATCATTCTTGTGTGTATGTATGTATGTACAATGTAATAGATAACTTACAATTAACACTTATTGTTAATCTGTATGAAAAATATCTATCAAAACGACTCAGAGTATAGGATTATATCTATATTCTATAGATTAGGGAAATAAAGTAAGTTTTCTTTTCGCACCAGTCGTTTTCTGCGCGCAAGGACGAATTCCCCGACGTTTTCAATTTATTATCTTTTTTCCAGCTAGCTCGCAGACGGTTATAAATACATTATTTTATTAATTTCCATGTATATTGCCTATGCCGAAGCGAATGCGTATTCTTTCTACGAAGAAAAACGTGCAAATTAGCATAGATTATTCGTTTATTAGTCACGCGTCTCTCCGTGATATTGCTCACCGTTCCAGAGTCCAGACCTGTCTGGTATAAATATGCGGCGTGATAATTTGCATAAGAAATTCCCATGCCGAACAAACGCAGACAATGAGCACTGAAATTATGTCATCGTCGCCGAGTCGCGTCGCATTTTATCACGAATCTGGTGGCTGCGTTGAAGTCAAATATTTCGTGCCTTGCCTAATTGGCTGGGTTGGTTTTTTTTCGGAACGATGTGATTTTTTGAGTCACGCGCGGTTCGAAGGGATTACACATGAGCCGGCAAACAATTCTTTCAAATAAATCTTACCGTAATTAGGAAATTTAATTAATCTACTCCATTAAAATCGTTCATTGAAGAATCAATATTGAAGCACTTCTGGTGTTTTGTTATCATAGACGACAACATACAATACTGCACGGTTTATCGTTTCCCATTGTTAGAACGTCATTGTTAGAACGTCAGTCTAGAGATAGTTGCTGTATCACCGATCACCAGCCTGTTTTTTTCTAACGTATGGCGCATTCAGTGATACAAAGCATGTTATCTCTGCCTAATATTTGACGACTCCCACTCTTCTATATTTGGTCTAGATATACGATGTCTATGTTTGTAATACACATATTTCTTATTTACAGTACCGTGCAAAAGTGTACGTACTTTTGATCTTTTGACTTTATTTTTGGACATTATGTTGAAATATATCTTAGAATTATGTTAAATAGTTCTGGAAAGATATAAAACTTTTCTACTTCAATTTGTCTTGCTCTTCCTATTATTCGAATATACATATATATAATATACATTTCAAATATTAATTTTGATATCTCTTATTGTCACGGCTTAGTATTAAAGATACTTGTTTGACTTCTTTGTTATATTGGAATTTTGTATTAAGATGGCTCGTGGCAAAAACTTCACAGAACGCGAAAGGAAGACTATGATTTCTATATGAGCAAACAGTAAAAAATTGTCATCATATAAAAGACCTCAAAATCGGCCGTACAACAGGTATTAAAGAGTTTTGAGATAAGAGGCCGTGACTAAAAATTATGACTGAGGGTCCCTCAGATAAAGTGTGCTGTGTGGGAATAATTGATATGCAAGACGCACTTGAATAAACAAATATTTACACGATCGTTATTATGTCATGTAGGTATATCAGGATTATTATTTATGTAATTGTATTAGTTATTGTTAGTATTTATTATAAAATCCCCGTGCGAAGTGTTAACTTATAATTACTTATTTTTACAATAATGGATATTTTTCTTTCTGCATACCTACAGATATAAATAAGATCGCAAACATGGATAGAGCCTAAGCAAGATTGAGAATAAGGTAAACAGATCTATTACACGCATCATTTAATTGAACTACGTGAACTTTACTACGCTCTCGAAAGATAACATTCAAAAATTTCCGCTAAACCCTCCTGTATTAAATTACTTACTTGCTTTCTAAGCCGATCCGAGTATTTATATCAACATCACATAAGAATAAAATAAAAAGTGATTTCATACTGAATTTAATATAAACGGTGATGTACATATCGGATCTCGTCGTCATCTAATAGTTTTATTTTCAGTTAATTTCTGACATATCGCACATTTCTTTCATGGAGTATAATTTCCGCATTCCTCATCCGGCAATTAACCCGGGCGCATGGGGTAATTTTTACACCCCCCCAGTATCAAAAAAATGAAATTTACGTCACAGTAATTTTAATGTGCTTCTTTCGTCAAGAAGAAACCCAAAAATCTTTACTTTTTTTCCAGAAAATGAGATAAATCTATTTACGTATTGTCCTCAAATACTAATAAATTATAGAACAATAAAAAAATAAAATATCTAATTAATAACAATGACTTTTAATTGAGGTATAAAAATTATCTCAGATATGACTACTTATGCAAAAAGCGCTTGTTTTCGGGTTAATGTTAAATATATATCTAAGCAAACATCAAAAATCAATAAAAACAATCTCTTAAATTCGCTTGATAGTTATTATTGCCAGTCATGATTATTGTTGATATCGTTTAATCTTAACATCTTGAATGTCGAATTTCTCTCTGGTGACGTCGGAATAAAATTTTTCATTATCAGATTCACATCTCGATAAAATACTTTATAATATGACTGAATTATATAAAGTTATATATCGTGTGCAGTGTAGTACGTTTATTTTCATTATTACTTTAATATTAATTATATTTATACAATTACAAATGTAATTTTTTATGAGTTTTATGCATTTTTTTTGAGCTTGGTAGCGTCGGTTAGCGATGATAGACACGGCATTCAACGCATTAATGAGTTTATAAAATACGCTCTAATTTTATCTATTTTCTCAAGAAAGGAAAGAGCACTCTTTAGATTTCCGATCTCCGAAGCATTTCGAAGACATCGACGTCCGAGCAGTGAAATCCATATAATAATCCATTTTCTGTGTTCGGAATTCTTCATAATCTTTCAAACGATTATATAGATAGTCAGACAATATTTCTCTTATGTGTGATTACGCATCCTGAGACATGTTAATTACATATAATGTCAATCCAAATGTTAGCTCGAGATTTCTTCCGAAAATTGACTTTGATGCGAATAGTTACTAGACATCATTCGTAATCTCTTTCTCTGCCGCTACATTTTGCACGCATATACATTTTTTCTTCCTTATTTTTTTTTAGCATTTGAAGGTGGTAGAAACATTTTATTTTTATTGCGTCTATTTACTTGGTCGAGAGAAGTATTAGCGACAAAGTCGTTTTTGTTAACGAAAACAAGATAAAGCGATAACGACTGCGGCATGTGGGGAGCTTTGCTCTAATTAGAGATAACTAATCGAATTTTGTTGCAAATAGTATGACGCGTTGAAGATCACCGGAATTCGTGACTTTGCATATTTGCACGGACAAGTGAGTAACAGATGAAGATAATTGATTAAGATATAATCGAATGAATAACTTATAAATATTTATCTGAAACATTTATGAATGTAATCTTCGTGTTAATTAACTACATATTATTTTTGCTCAAAGCTTATCGGCAGTTCTAAATTCTAAAATATTTGTATACTTAATCTTCGATGATAATCAATTTATAGAAGATAATTGAACAGTTATATTGAAGTTATGGGAAAAATAAAGAATTTTAAAAGAAGTCATTTCAATTGATTTCATATTTCTAGCAATAATAATATGCAGTAGATTTAAAAAGATATTCAGATTTTTAAAAAATTATATCCTAATTCTCCCAAATCATACTAAATTTATTTAAAAGAATTCATTTTATGCTTGCTTATGTTCTTAAACTTAATTATAGCTAGATTAAAATCTATTACGAATGTTAAGGTATAGTAAAAAATCCGTTGCGAATGCCGAAGTATCACGATTCGCGATATTTAATCCAAAATAGAAAATATGACGCGCTAAGGATCTTAACGTGGAAGACTGATCCTTTTTCGTAGCTTGTCAGGTCTCGTCTAAATCGCTTTTGAATTAAAAAGATTTAATACACGGCCTGTAAACAGGGAGCAGAATAGCATCGGAAATAATAATGCACGTGGGATCTCAGATGTATGACTTTGACTTTACCCGGTTATCGTGTTTTATCACATTATTATTCATATGATAATACTTTATTTATTGGCGTTAAATATGCATAATCCGATGTGAATTAATTCAATTAATTGTTCGTTCAGCGTCGTTGAAGTGCAAGCGCGTGAATTATCGTCATCTGCGGCTTGCGTACGCGATCATCCGCTCTCTTTCCGAGATGTATTGCGTTAGCACGGCCACAAATCCTGTTGGGCATCTGTCTGTAGAATGAACTGCCGCGTGAAGTCGGAACACATCTGTTCGATGGCTTCCTTGGCCTGTTTACGTACAAGTGCGATAAGCAGGGCGGTGATGATGGCGAATTTTTCAATAAATCACCAAGGTATCACTCCCAGGAACTGTCGTATTTGTCATAAGTCCTATGGAACGGGCCAGTTGGTAATGGCACTAGTCTTCTCAGGTCGGTCCGGATGTCCTCGCAGTAAATGATAGTTAATGCAATTGATGCAAAAGTGGCACTTGTCGGAACTGACAATGAGTCGAAAGCGCGCTTTTCGGAGACAGTGGAATACTTCTTGTAACACGCAGAGGTGTTCGTCGAAGGTCCGGCTATAAACGATGATATCGTCTAGGCAGGCAAACACCGTTGAGTTCCAGCTCTGGTGTCCAAGAATTGGAACGTTACAAGGACAAAGTGCAGTCCGAACGACCTGTGAATGAGAACATGACCCTGAATTGCATCAGACCTTTGCCAGAGCACGATAAATGTGGTAAACTTTCTGCTTTTCGGAGATAGAAGCACTTACCAATATTTGTTTTTTAGGTCCAGTATTGAAAGATACCAAACTCCTCGCAACTTATCGAGTGTTGCAAAGATTCGTGACAAGGGATATGCGTCACTTCATTGATATGTCGGAAGTCGATAAAAAATCAGGACTTCCCATCCTAACGATAACTACTTGCATTAACTTTACACAATAATTACTACTTTATTAAGCATTATAGAAAAAAATGACTCAAGACTTTTCGACTTAATTTTTGATAAGAAAAATCGCTGTGTAAATAGTGAGCGCAAATTAAGTGACACCCTGTATATTTTATTATGAGTAAAAGTTTTAAATATATTATTTACATTTGCATGACATTGTTACAAAAAGTACAAAAAGTAGAAACTTGTGCACATTGCTTCCTCATAATTTTTAAGTGTGTAAGTAGAAACCTGCATATTGCTTCCTCATAGTTCTTAAGTGTGCAAGTAGAAACCTTTGCTCACAAAGCTTCCTCTATGAGAAAGCCAAAACAAATAAATACTAATAATTATACATCAAATAAAATAAAAACTTCCTCATAGAGGAGCTTTGTGAGCGAATGTTTCTACTTGCACACTTAAAAACTATGAGGAAACAATGTGCAGGTTTCTACTTGCACACTTTTTTTCAATTAATTTAAAATTAAAAGTTAATTGATTGTTTAATTTTGTTTATAAATTATTTAAAGTCAAATACATGTTAATATAAAGTATTTTTTGTGAAAAACAGTCTAATATCTAACATAGTTAAATGTGATATAGCTGTAATAAGTTATTCTAAGTAAAGTACTGTTAGTCTCTTAAGCTTTAATATAGTAATAAATTAGTAACATTAGTATAAACGTTATTTTATTGAAGTTTATATTCTGTGATTAATTAAGTCTAACCATACTTGTTGTTTTTAACAAAAAAATTAATGATTGAAAAGTTATATTTTCATTAATAAGTATTACATTTGTACTACTAAGTTTATAATAAAATATATTAATATTTAATGTGTGTGTAGTTTTTATCATATACAACTTGCAAATTTAGTTATATTCCGCTCTTGCACTTAATGTATATATAAAACTAATCAATCAATAATCACAATTGAACGCTCACACATTCTTTAGTTTAATATATCGCGTAAAAGAGTCACGGTCGGTCTCGCTCCGCGTGTACTTGGCGCGAGACACTACCGTGTCTCTTGATCATTTAATAATTAGTTTAATATATCATTTACATACTGCGTAAGTCGTATCTCAACTTATATACTTTATCTCGTATGTTCCTTGTATTTTTAGTTTTCAAGATTTAACAATCATTTTATATTACAATTACATTTGTACTTTTATTTATAACAAACCTTTGCAACTTTGCTTATAACTAAAATACTTAATGTTTAACTAACCTTATATACTACATAATTTTATATCGGAAGAATGTTCATAATTTCGATTCGTTTCAACAGAGCTGCATTATTTTCTTGTTCTTCATTAACGTTTACAATAAAATTATCCTATGCTCTTATGTCCCTCCATTCTATCTCATCTACAAGTGAAGGAACTCCTTCACCGATTCTCACCCAATTAACCTTCCTTTAATGATACATTATCGATTAAAAAAAAATTGAGCCCGATACCACGGACATCAAATCTGTACGTGAGCGTACGTATATACACTCGAATGTGTATATTTCATATTGAAATATTTCATAAGATTCAATTTTATGAAACTTGAACTATTTTATCTATAAAATAATTCGATATTAAAATAAAACAAAAAATTTTTAAAGACCATAGTATGTATATCAAAGAAGAAGACAAAGGATAACATATAATAAAGAAATGTGACATAAAAGACACTTAGTGCTGCTATACCAATCGAAAGAAACATCTTGATGGTTATAATAAAAATATTAATATTCATATTCATAGTCACATATGTTAGTAATTAATATTAACATATTATAAATAGTTTATGACACGAAAATGTCTATAAAGTTATAATAGTTTTCCGTGAGAAGCAAATTATAAAATTACCATTCCGTGCTCTCTTATACCTACGTATGGGAAAGAGATTAACCCTCCGTAGTCACACCTATTTTTTCAAACAAGGAAGTCACTCTGGGTTATTTTGACCCGAGACGAACTTTGACCGTTCGCTATTTGACCATTTATCCACCGATCGTGTTGAAAAAATTCTCAAATGCACTTGCGATATTGCTAAATTGATTGCTATTAAAAACAAAGGGCCTCAGGACTTTTTAACATATAAAAAAAATTCGCGAAAAATTTGTTTAAAAAAAAAAAAATTTTTTTTTAAACTACAGCTAAAGGGCGTCATGCCCGCCAATTTTCAAGTTACGCGCAAGATATTTACGAGCAAAGTTGAGGCTCGGGTCAAATTGACCCGGTGTGACTACGAAGGGTTAATAGCGAATATCGCTACTAAATCTCTTTGCCATATGTGAGAAAGCACGGAATAGTAATTTTGTTGTCCGGTAAAATAGTGGACTTTTTATGGTAACTAATAATATATATCTAATATATTACTAGGCAACTTTTTGTCAACCTGTTGTGCCTGGCTCCGGTCTGGCACAAGGGTCTGTTGCTTCTTGAGGAGAAATGAGTTGAATCACGCGTTACAATTGAGCCTATGTCACTTTTGAGCTGACGTTGTCTGACCGTTTTCCCGACTGCCTGATTGCCTTTCCCC